CAAAAACTCTGAACATGAGGTTATGAAAGAACATGGCATCAGCTCCTTCCATCTCCAGATGAATATCCACAAAACTTATTCTTTGGGCTGAGTGGGGTGGGGTGTGGTCCTTTCTTTAAAGAGGAAACACTGACTTAAATTACCAAGTCAAGAAATAAGCTAAGTTAGCTAGAACTTGCTGACATGTAAAAGAGATTTTAATTCTGATCCTTGAAACCATGGTGAACTGAGACACAGAGGCAGAGAGTATCAAGAGGGGATTCTTCATGTCCAGCAATCCTTCCAGCATCATACGCATACTAGATACTGAGCAATCCTCAAAAGGGAGTAATTTCCCCAGGGTGGTCAACTTTTAGCACTGTTACCTGAGAGAGTTTCCAATGAATGACAACAAACTACCAGCCTTACTACAGGAACCTCTGGCTGCTGAACATCCTGATCCAAGTATTCTGCTAACAAGGCCAAAAACACTACACAGCAAGAATCTCTCTGACTGAGTTAGAGCCACTGGTTCCAACTCCTATGGTCTTAGAAATTCTGGCAATGTCAGCTTCTGTAATAGAAGGCAAGCTGCAGCAAAAGCAGTCCTCACTGGTGGCTTTGGTTTAGAGAAAAGCTACACAAAAAAGGGGAGAGCTTCATTAACAAGGCCAAACTACACTTGGAAGTGTCCTATCCAGATCCATGAACCTAAGATACTAAATCAAAAGTGATATTGTTCATAAATCCAAATGTAATGGCCAAATACTAGTTTCAAGGGAAGATACTGGATCCAAAATCCATAAATGATGCACCACCATTACAATGGTAGCTGTAATTACCATATACAAATACAGTGGGGTGTGGGGAAGAACAAAGGAAAGCACATGCTAATCCTTGCATGTAAGCACCCCAAAAAAGTAAGTTTGAATGAATCATGACACTGGCAAACATTTTGCTTCTGCCCCGTAGAACACTGCATGCCTCTCAAAATTGTTTGCCATTCTTGATTATAAGTGCCAGGGTCTTTGATTTCACCAGAGTCAGATCTAAGACAAGAGGAAGAATCTGAATGTACATCTCCCAGTTCCACTCACAGAGGAAGAGATACCCCACTTTTTAAATGTTGTTCTGTTCTCTAGAAACCACATCCGAGATAGGCATCACCATGGGCAAGATCAATGGGGACCAGCCTTCTTGGCAGGTGTGCTACAGATTAAGCCCATGCCCTCCTGGAGTACTACTTGGATCCCCTTCCCCTGCCTGATCTACTGCTCTGTTTCCTCCCTGTTATGCTGCCTGCCACAGAGGCTGCTGTGCCACATTGGCTTAGGCTAACTGTCCTTTTAGCTTTTAGTTAAGCATTTTAGAAGTGTTCCACATCCTCATCCTAATAAAGAGCTCCTCTTTACTTTGAGATCCAAGATCTTGTTCTTAAGATGCAAAATTCTATTTTAGGAGTCTTTTTTTTTCCATAATAGCTCTTTATAATTAAGAGAACAGAAAGAAGATAAAGGATACAGAGCCAGAAACAAATTATTAATCATATTCTAAATTAAAAGGTATGAGCTGCTTCAGCATCTAAGAACTTGTTTGAATTCCATGGATGCAGAGTGAAGAATAACAATGTTGAAGTTTGGTTCATGCCATTAAAGGCCCGAGTTTGTGATATTCTGGGTTCTCTATTTAAATAAGGTGATTTGGGTACCAGTGGCAGTCTAGCCATAGTAGCTCATTAGTGCACACCACACTAGAGCAGCTAGGCTGCTTCCAGTTCCCAAACTAGTGTATCACTGTAGTGCTGTGTAAGCATGTCCATTATCCTGTTGGGTTTCACAATGCAAAAAGAAAGCCACAAGTTTGCCTTTATCCACACGTGATGTTAGAACTCATACCACTGGAACAACAGCAGCTCTATAACATGCCTGTCACACTTGCAGGCTACCAAATTATACCTTTTCCCAACACTGCTTACATGAAAAAATAATCTTCAGGTAGCATAAAGCAAGTACAATGTTATGGGAACGGAAATTACAGGTTTCCCTCACTTTATGCTGTACATGCACTCCTGGAAAACAGTGCATAACTCGAATTCACATTCACACTTTACCATGTAACAAATAGACATACATTCCAAGACCTCGACTGTACTGTCCCCCAGACCCATTTCTACAACTTTTACAAGATAATTCTGGTGGCTCCCCAACAGCAGACAGGTGGTGGTGAATGTTAGGCTATCAGGGCACTTAGAAGCCATAACAGGGATGGCAACTACAGAAACATGTGTCACAGACAATGAACGAAGAGCACAGATCCACCCAGAAGACTATATTTTGGTGCGCATCACTCATGCAATGCACTGCAGAAAGCAGCTGACTGCAGGCTTCCACCACACTGATCAGGTAAGAGTGAATTTAGCTTGCATATAATGAATTTTTGGTACAAAAAGGGTATAAGAGAAAATTAGCACATACAGAACCCACATAAAGCAAGGGAAACCTGGGCTCAAAATTTCTGTTAAAAATTACCTGAAAACTACAAAAGAATGAACATTTTTTAGTTTGCAGCCTGAGCAGCAGAGGGAATGGCTTGTATTCACTGTTGTTTCTCTCTGAAAGCAGGGGCAGGTGCCTTATAACTGGTGTTTCATAGCTGGCAGTGGTTGCAAGAGATGTAGTTATCCTCTGACAATAAGCATGGTGTTTTCCGTTACAACTTAGCTTTTCACCTTCAGAGATGTCAACCATCAAGTTTAGTGGCTACATGTCAGACAGTACAACAGAATTTTAGCAGGGGTTATGCACTTATTAGGAGCTAAACAGCCATGGCTGAACTGTGTAAGTGGCAATAGTCCCACATGTTATTTGACCAGCAACATCACTATTTTCTCAGTTCAGTCTTTGTTTTTTATATATACATGTGACCACACAACACTGCAATCTTCCTTCTCCTTATTTTCTAACCCTTCTACTTTTAACATTCACTGTTTGTGTCTTAACTAGAGATAAGACTATGAGCACCACAGGGAAGGAGTACATTCATTTACAAAAGTGTAGGCTGTTTTCTGTATAACAAGACATTTAGGGATTTACACTGTTTTATCAAACATAGGCAACAAAAACAGATTTCTTCCCTCCCCTAAGTAAAACCAAAGAGGAAAATAATTCTAGGAGGTGTGGACAGATTGACCTATATCTATTAAGTACATGATCCAAGTAATCAATAGAAGTAAGACTGCAAAAGAACTAAGCAAAAGTTATAAGATTAATATAAATGAAAACAGTTAAACAGAGTCAAAAAAGTTAGCTATGAGCCAAAATTAAGCAAAGCCTAAGGAAACCACCATTACACAAGACTGACTTCACAAGATTAATTTTCTGGTACAAGACATTTCTTTTTTGTTTAATTTGTTAATTTTTAAAGGCAAATAGAAAGCAGAAAGAATTTTTGTACTGCAACAGATAGCTCTCCCTCATGCGTGCAAATGTCCCTTCTGGCTCTCATCTGAAACTCAATAGCCCACCATTAAAAAAAAAAAAACCAAAGCAGAACCTCAAAGAGATTCATAAAGAGGGATCAGATAACAGTTTGCTAAAATTAAGTAAAGTTTGTGGGGTGTCCCCCCCATTTTTTTTTTGTGCTTATTTTAATCAACATGGAAATGAACTAGAAGTATATTTCTCCAAAAGATTTTTTTTTACATTAGAATAGCATTATAAATGATGCCCAAATTTCTTCAAGATCAGGGACAACTAGAGCTTGGGGGAGGGGGGTAACCTAAAGTATATATTACTAATTAGAAAGTATTAACAGGTAGATGTATGACTTCCTATGGAGAGGAAAAGAAAGTTCCTAAATAATATCTTAAGACTTATATTTTACAGAAGCAAAAATGCGCACAATCTTCAATTTCTTCAACATTCACGTCACTAAGACTTACAATTGAGCCACATTTAAACAAGCTTGCACTCTCCGTAAGTTTTCCTCAGAATTCCAGTTCTCTGTATGCTGCTGTTGCTTCTAAACTTCAATCAGTACAAAATTTCACTTCACTTAAGAATGAGGTCTAAGAGTCCACACATTTTTTTTCACCAGCAATAGACAGGAGGGGAAAAGCTGACACCCAGCACAAAGAAGTTAATCCAGTGTTTATTCCAGACTGATGGTTCTCCTTACTCAGTATACAAGTCATCAGAACAAACTACTAAACAGAACTGGACTTTATTTCTCAATAATGCATTCTGGCATTACTTCTTCTACTCTGTTAAGAAAAAAACCCAAAAAACAAAAAAAACCCCAAAAACAACAACCCAAAAAAACCACAAAATCACTTTCCCCCCCTGTGCTGGAGATGAAATTTTCAGCTCCAATTGCAATCTTATGTAGAAAATATCATTAAATTAAAAAGAGGACACCATCAAGTCATTTCTTAAATGTATTCCATTTATAAAAAATGCTTTGGAAGCTTGAACCCGAAACCCCTCTCAACTAAATTTCCTCTTTCCCCCACCCAAAATCTTAACCACTTTCAGTTTAGGGTTATGACAAGTGAGAGATTACTGGACACTTCTTTAAATTTAAGTGGAGAAATGGTGTTGTAAACTTGCATTCTCTTTTCACAACTTTTCGAACAAATAAAATATGCATAGGTGTATATGGTACAGACCTACCAACACTAAACAGTGTCCCCTTGAGGTAGCATTTCTATTACTAAAACACCTCTAAATGCAATTGAAATCCCCACATCAAGAACTGGTACTCCTTTGAAAACCGATTCTCAATGGGACACTGTTGGGGATTAAAACAATACAGCTTAAAAAGCTTTCCAAGACAGTAGGTACAATGGACACACAAGTTAGTTCTAGATCTGCAGCCCTCACGTACACTGTATGCACATAAATATCTCAGCTATAATACACATTCAAGACCCATCCCTAAGAAGCTTCTGCCATACTATTTTGCAAAGCACTGCCATGCTAGCTTCAGGATATAAACCATAATTCCACACCTACAAAACAAAGTAGAATGAGTGGCAGTTTATTGCCTTATACAAATTTTACTAGCATGGCAACCATGCCAAAGGAATTAAAACATTTTCAGGACATATGTACAGACTGTACATTTCAGAAACATTTGAACAATAAAAATGCAAGAACAATCTTTGCATTATGAATTAAACTAAACAAATGGTTTGAAACCGTCAATGCATTAAATGGGTTTACAAAGGCACTTCCCTACCCAAAATAGGAAATGACAATCTGCAGCCTAGAGGGAGGTTGAAGAAGAGTGCTCAACTACTGCACAATCTCAACTTTAAGAAAAAAATAAGCAGGATTTATTCAAACATTTATAGGATTCAATGTGATCCACTTATGAAAGAGTTCACACAGTCTCATCTTTGTTTTTAGGTTGCTTTTCTTGGCTCTCTCGTTCTGTACTTTGGCTCCTTCGACGATCATGTTTATCTGAATGGTCCTTGCTATCACTGTGGTCATGTTTATGGGATCGTTCTTTGCTCCTACTACGCTTTCGGGATCTCTCTTTGCTGGGACTGTGGTCTCGTTTTCTGGATTTTTCAACACTATCTGTTCTTCCTCTGCTTCCACTTCTACTTCGTTTATTTGATTTCTCTTTACTTTCATTTTTATGTTTGCTTGATTTCTCTTTGCTCCTGCTTCTACTGTGCTTACCTGTATTCTTACTTCTACTCCTACTTCTATGCTTTCTCTCCCTGCTTCGACTTCTACTATGCTTTCTCTCCTTTTTGGAATCTCTCTTGTCTTCCCTGTGCTTTTTTTCATCTTTGTCATCCTTGTGCCTTTTCTCCTCTACTTCACCCTTGCTCCTCCTTTCCTTTGACCGTTCCCGAGATCGATCTCTCTCCTTGTCCCTCTCGGTACCCTTTTCCTTATCATAGTCTCGATCTTTCTTCCTGCTTCGTTCATTCTCTTTCTCCCGCTCTCTGTCCCTGTCTCTTCTATCTCCCTTTCTATCACGGCTTCGACTACGGCTTCTGTGCCTCTCCCTGCTTCTGCTTCGCCTCCTTTCTAATGGACGATCAGCACTTCGAGATCTGCGTCTTTCTTTCTCCCTCTCTTTAGCTTCCCGTTCTAGTCTCTGTCGTTCTCTCTCTCTTTCTAACTCTCTATCAAAACTAGATGATCCGTGGCTTTCACGATGACGACTTCTGCTTCTGGATCTTCTCGGGGACCTTCTGGGGCTCAGAGACCTTCTCGGAGACCTTCAAAAATAAAGAATTTACAAAGTTGAAAAAGTTTTACAATGAATTGTCTTGATTTTTATCATGTTTTATAATACTTCACATTCCATATCCTGGCCTCAATTGCTAGCCATGTATTTATTTCAATATAATTTAATTATTTTAGCCATTAGTACAAACAACTGTTTTGGTTTGATGCATAGGACCATTTGCTATCCCAGCAAAATGCAAGGAACTTTATTCCTGGTACCATAACTTGTAAAGCATTCAATATTGGACTTTTAAAATTTAAAAACAATATGTGTATAACCTTGAACGTCTACGTTCTGTGTGTCGATCTATTTCCTCCATTCCTTCCTTGCCATCCTTCTTGATTTTTCTAGGTCTGCTTTTAATCTGTTGATCAATGGCTTTCTGGACTGGCACAGGAATTCTTGGAAACAACGTGGAAAACCATTCAAGCTTAGTAAGAAAGGAACGAAGCATCTCCCCAATGGTCATAACACAACCCCCACCTGCCTTCACATCCAGGTCCTACAAAACACAAAAAAAAAAAATCCTGACCGTCAAAAAGAGTTCTTTACTCATTTAAAAACAAATGCTGCTATATTTACTGCCATCTTGAAGTCTCAATTATGAAAGTTTACTTGCTTTCTGGTTTAATATTTTTCTGAGAAAAATTTCAACCTCTATATGGCTTTGGATTTGGCGTAAGTGTTACAAACAGGGAATAAGTCTTAATACATATGCATGCAGGAGCATACTAATCCTGCAGCCATCTGTATTTAAACGATTGTCAATGAACAGATTAATATGGAATCCCCTTACACAGTAAGATCTTGTTTCTTACTTAAATTGCCACAACATTGAAAATTTATTTTTCCTAAGACTACATTAACTACCTCATTTTGTGGACGCGTGATCGTATATAATCATACCCAACCCTGTGGCCTTTTCATATAAGAACATCATCGCCTATCTAAAAATGATCATAGAAAAAGTTCTAGTACGAAATGGCATCCTAACAAAATTGGAAGCAATAGCAAACCAACTGCCATGAAGCAGTGAGGTTTCTAATTTAGAAATATGTAAAAAAATAAATAAATGAACAAATAATTGGAAACGCATAATCCATGATGACCATTGTCTCTGAAAAGGGTCATTACCGCATGAAGGCCTTCTTGCTATGCCCTCTCACAGCTCAGGACATGTTAGTCAGCTATTGTCAGTCCCAAACCTACAGTGCAAGCACACAAGGAAAGTGAGATTTGTTATCTACAAAGGAAGAGAAAATCTAAATGTAAAACTGCTTGCACTCACACACATTTAAGTGTTCAGATATACAGTATTTCCAAATATAATCGCTGAACAGAGATCTAAAGAAGAAAAAATAAATTAACTTTAATGTAATACTTGGTGAGTATGTACAATTAAACAGAACAGACAATAGAAACATTTAGAAAAAGAATAACTGTAAATGGAAAGAGGTTCTCTTTCACAGGAGAGAATGACAATGCTGAATTGTTTCAACATACTAGATTTATGGACTGGAGAAAAAACCGAATAGGACAAAATTATTTTTATCGTGTGTTTACTTAATTTTAAATAAGTTTGACCAAGAGCGGCCAGAAATTGCATCTGAATAAGCAGTAACCACATTCTCCAACATAAAGGAGACCAGGGGAGGCGGCAGGTGAGTTTATTACTGACTCAAACTTCCCCTAATTTTTTTTTTTTTTTTTTTGGAGAAACAGGAAACATGAATACATAATAAACAATGGATTAGGTCAAGAATTGTGCAGTGTGTAGTATGCATAAACTAAACCAGAGCCTTGAAAAGTGCAGCTACCAATTAAGATGCTCAAGTCAAGTCATGTTCTGATTCAACTTGTCCTTATGAAGGAAAAAGCTTGTAAGGCACCTTAAAGGCCCACCACCATCCCCATCAAAAGATAAAACAACACATTACAAAGTGTGATGTCTACACGTGCCTCTACAGCAACGTTACTGCGTCATGCCGGTGGTACAGTTATTTTTAGCTGCTACGTCACCATAGTGATGTGCTGCAGCAAGGGAGTGCATCACTATGGCGACATGGCTGCAGCATCAGTTTGTGCCCAATGCTATATCGTCGTAGTGCATTGCTACAGTGACATAGCGTCTTGTGTAGATGCACCCAGTTGTTAGTGCTTATATCCCAGAGGTAAAATAGCACATGGATAGATCCGTCTTATTTAAATTACACCTCATCTGAATTCTTAATTAAGGAATATTTTGATTTTATTACAAATGTACAATTAATACATGTTTACCTGGATTAATACATGTCTCCCTTGTACAGTGTTTTTGCTGCTTAGAATGAAAGTAGCTGCAGTAAAATAAATATACTGTGTTGTAGTCATATATATGTATCATTAACACTGCATTATTGTTAAGCATATCTGGGCCTCGCTTCTAAATATAAAACTTAACATTTCTCATTAAAAAAAGATCTTGATGTCATAGAGCAAGAGAGACTCTCTTTCCTGGCCTGTTCTTAAAGCTTACTAATGGTTTAAGACACACCCTGCCCAAGTTTTACATAATTTCACAAATTATCTCAACCCTACAAACATGCTGCATATACTCCTACTTAATTCCTCCAGCTTCTAAATCCCATAATGCTTTTTAAAGCTCTTATCCTAACGTACAACAGAGCCCTGTTGAAGGTGTTCAGAAATAAACACTGAACCTTTTCTTTTTATTACTCCAATGATGATAAAAAACCAAAAGAACGTCTGGGTGGGAGGTACCATCTACCAAGTAACTAAGATGGTTCCTTCTCATCTGGTAAGTTTGGCCTCCAATGACTTGGAAACTTGGAGGTTAGTAATCAGAGAAATGAGTCTGTTTGAAAACAAATTAAAATCTTCTTATTAAAAGCTCATGTTCCATCCTCTCCTACCCCGACAAGTGTTCATTAAAACCTACACCACTTTCTAACATGTATTGGATGCTTGCAGATGTTAAAAAACACCCATAAACCCAGGGCTTTAAACTCAGCATGCTCCCACACTGAGTCCAGCACATGCCCACAAGAGGCATCGTGTTAGTTGGATCCAGCTCACCCAACACCTGTACAGATCAGGTGTTTTAGTGCGACTTTTTTGGTGCTTTTATATAATAGCCAATTGACTCAGCTTCGAAAAGTGCCAAAAAACCCTGCTGAAGCATCTGATCTATACAGATCTATACAAAGCCAGGCTGAAGTAACGCGCTACTTCTTTTGATAAAATGTGCGTGTAGTTTTATTGCGTTTTGGGTTTGTTTTTTTTAAATAATGTCTATAAACAGCCATCACGTTTTATACCATTCTTACTCCTAGCCATTGGAGAATTCTGCCAGTTTGAGACAAGGAACAGATTCAGTTCTTACATCAGATCCATTCACTCCTCACTCATAGATATGAAAGCAATGAAAACTGAAGGGGGAAAAAAACAAACAGAAAAAAAAAAAAAATCACAACGCTACAATGCTCAAACCATAGGAAAGGCTAAACTTTTAATCTAAAGAAGTAACATGAAAAGAAACAAAAGAAAACACTTTATTACCCTCGCTGACATACCTCTTCATCATCAAGAAAGGATTCAAACCAGTCCCATAAATCTGTAGGTGGCTGTGTGTACCTTGAAGTAAAAACAAACCATATAAATTTTATATAAATTTTTTTTGCACTTAGTTAGTTAAAAGTTAACTACATTTTTACTCACCTGATATACATAAATCCAAGAGCCCTAATGTACGGAGAGTCTGTGTGAGTTATAAGGCCCATCACTTGCTTACGGGTGAGTTTCAGAGTAAATAATTTGTAGAGCAGGCAAAAGGCTGTAGACACTATTCCTCCAGTTCCAACACCTCGTACCTTTAGAAAAAGAAAGAAAATATCAGATGTTTGGCACGGGACGTTGCCAAGATATTACTCCAGCTGGCAACAGGAAAAGCTAACAAACATAAAAATGAAGAGTCTCATTCTATGAACTGAAATAGAAAAACCCTCCCAACCCTTCAGAACCACCACCATCCAGAGGAGTACTTCCTCGCCTCCACAACTCCACATCATTAGAAGCAAGCGGGGTGTTTCTCAATCCTTTGTAAATTTAAAACATCTAGAGTCTGAGCCAAAATTAAGTTCTCACTATAGCTAAAATTGAAATTTTTACCTGCATTTACACTGTGCAACTATACAGGTGAATAGTTATAAGACAGAAAAATTTAAGAAGGCACGTACTTCTACTTACCCCTCCGCACATCCCTGTCTGGCCTGCTGTTTTTCTGCTCCCTTTCTCCCATGGTTCAACATGTGTAACCTAAGAGTGAAAAAAAAAAAATATAATCAATATAATATGTAGCTTTTAAAATATGTCAAAGTTACTTGAAGCAATCAAGTCTGCAAATACCATTTCCCAGAGGGGATAGATTCGCTGTAGGGATCAGAAAACAGAAGACAAATTCCCCACTGGTCTTACTTTTATCTAATGCTTGAGCAAAAGTTTATAATCAAAATTAACTTCTTGATTGAAAATACATACATACACACATACATAAAACATGCCAAAATTAAATAAACTCAACCATTTTATCCAACATCACAAATGGTTATGTTCATTTTCTCATTAAACTTATTTCTAAAATGCAAACTTGTCTTCAATATCAATAATATGGAAACAAATGTCTAACCTGCTTTATCAGATACATCTACCATATTACATCATATAAAGAAGTTCAGAAATAGCATGTATACCATACAGAATTAACTGCATTGAAAACGTATCAGATTATTCCTACTGGCATGCCTTCTCCCTTAAACATGCAGGGAGAGGAAAGTGGTTATTCATTCAGTTCAGGGGTGGGCAAAGAACAGCCCGTGGGATGGATCTGGCCTGCCAACTGATTCTTATCCAGCCTGCAGGTGCGTGGCAGCACTGGCAGGCCCTGGACAAATCATGCTTGGGCCCCAGCCTCTGCTGGCACCTCAGGGAACACTGAGCAGAAACAGCCCCACCCACCTGCCTGACCCTGTGCAGCGCCAGCCAGTGCCTGAGCACAGCTTGCCCAGGGTAAGCCATGGAGTGCCAGGCAACAGGGCTGCTTCTGCTCAGTATACCCCAAGATGCCAGCCAAAGCTAGAGCTTGAGCCCAAGCATGGCTCGTTCGGCCTCTGCCCAGCTGTAGGGAACATGTGCGCACATGCGTGGCCCTCAATTCACCAAAACCGGTTCATAGATTTCATAGACATTAGGGCTGCAAGGGACTCAGAAGATCATCAAGTCAAGCCCCCCGCCCCAAGGCCAGAAAGTCAGCTAGGGTCAAAGGATCCCAGAAAGATAAGCGGCTGAACGTTTCCTAAGAGAGTCAAGAGCAGGTGCTTGCACCACCTCTGGAGGGAGTCTATTCCAGGCCTTGGAGACTCAGACAGTAAAGAAGTTTTTCCTTATGTCCAGCCTAAAACAGTCTTGGAGGAATTTGTGACAATTAGACCTTGTCATCCCTTGGGGTGCTCTGGTGAACAGGTGTTCCCCCAGATCCTGATGTACTTATAGGCTGCCACCAGGTCAAACCCTGAGCATGCCCTTTTCCAGGCTGAAGAGTCCCATGGCTCTCACCCTGTCTTCATAAGACCTATTTCTCTTGCCCTCTGATCATGCGTGTGGCTCTCCTCTGAACTTCCTCAAACTTCTCCACATCCTTCTTGAATTGTGGAGCCCAGAATTGGATGTAGTAGTCCAGGTACGGCCTCACCAAGGCCAAGTACAGCAGGAGGATGACATCCTGAGATTTACTGAGAAGCATCTATGGATGCAAGCCAGAGTTTGGTTTGCTTTACCAGCTGTGACATCACATTGATGGCTCATGTTCACCTTGTGGTCAATCATGACCCCTAAGTCTCTTTCGGCCATAGTGCTAGCAAGTGTAGCACTGCCAAGCCTATAAGCGTTCTGCAGGTCCCCTCCCCACCCCAGGTGGAGTACCTTGCATCTGCTGGTATTGAATGTCATCAGGTTTGTATCCGCTCACGTTTTAAGCCTATCCAAGTCAGCCTGGATCACCAGCCTATCCTCAGGTGTGGACCCTCTACCCCAAAGTATAGGTGTTATCGGAAAATGTGCCCAGTCCACTTCTGACACCAGTACCCACATTGTTGATAAAAGACATTGAAGAGAACAGGTCCAAGGATGGAGCCTTGGGGGACACCGCTGGTCACAGAGTGCCATGATGATTGCTTCTGTCAACTACCACTGGTTAAGTGGCTCTCCAGTCCAAATAATTGTATACCCCTAATTTAGTTCTTTGACTGACAATGGCAACATTCAATCTTGATAATATAACAGTCTCCATCCCAAAAATAGACAGTGGCCCCAATATAGTAAATACTACAAATAGATGCGTGGAAAAAACCCTGGCATGAAACAACTAAAATTTAAGACCCCAATCCTATGGAAGATGTGTGTGTAAACTCAATGATGCCATTTCTCAGTGTATACATACCTTAAAAAAAAAACCCACTGAAGCATAAGAAGCTAAAAAGACAAGCGTGAGGGAAGTAGCAGCCCCATTTTACAGACTGAGGACTCAAGCACAGATATTAGATGATGGATTTTCAAAAAAAATTGTTCAGGCATCCGAATCGAGACCAGATTTTTAGTAGCGATCACACCCAGCACACAAGTTCAGTTTCCAAGAACACGGCTTTTAAAAGATCTGCTCATATGTTTCGGTGCTTAAACGGGAGAAGAACAGTCCTCGATGGTAAGCTATTACTCTTATAAAAATTATACCTGTAAGTTCACCTGCCCAAGCATTATACAGGAAACTTGCATTAGAACAGGAAACCTTCTAAACCCCAATCTAATGCCTTCAATATAAAACCAGCCTCTCTCAAAAATAAAATTTGATTAAGAACATGTTTATCGTATGTGTTACCTGAACAACTAGGCACAAACAGCAAAATATTTCAGAATGTATCTGAAAAGTAAGCATAATGAAACACCTCCCTGGACAAGTATACTGCCTGTATCTATTCAGGCATATACTTCTCAACCTTAGTGAGGACAAAAATAAAAAAGGCAAAAAAAAGTTTGCTGCTTTTCATTCTCACAGTTTCAACACAGCTCCAAACAAGGTGGAAAGTCACTATTCCTTTTTCAAACATCAGCAGGATTGTTTATAGAATTCCAACCAACAATTCCTTTAATATTTCATAGAATGTAATGAGTGACATGCATAACTGAGGTCACAATTTGGCCTCCAGAGTGTGTTACTGCAGACCATGTATGAGAATGAAGCAAGTCGTCTGGACTCTCTGAAGCCAGGCTGAATTAACAGAGGAGGAAAATGATGCCTTCTTTTTATCAGGAATCTAAATGCCCCTGATACCAAAGCCATCAGGGCACAGATGTGGAAAACCAAAGCCATTATTACAGAAGTACTAGGCCCTTTGGTAATTCACTGTAAGCAACAGTCTTACCCCTGAAGAACATTTAAACAATACAAGAGGGCAACAGGACTGACTTGGTGACATAATACAGTTAAGTATAATGGACACACTGAGATCAGTGTCTCCATACCTCCCTGCACATAACTAATGGAAAGCAGTAGCCTCAACCATCCACGTTTCGTTTCCATTTTTTCTGGGCAGCACAACCAAGTGTGATGACAACTCAGAGTGTGCAGCCCTATCCCTGAGCTTGCCTTGATGGAAACCTGGCTGCAAAACTGACTGGGTCTTGCTAAGGAAGCAGGAACCACAACCAGTGACCCTAAGGAACTCAGCTCTGCCCCCGCCCCAGCACACCCAGATCCCTACCAATAACAAACCTGATCTCGGGTCTGACCCAGAACGAGCCCATGCACAAACCCTCTCTGGGAGATGGTCACCCCCAGTACCTCCTGCCCCCTCCCCCACTTCCAGGTGGGGGCTGCTTGGGCCCGGAGGGAGGGGTCTCCGGACCCGGGCCTTTGGCGCGCGCTTCCGCGGATGCCCTCAGCCATCTCCGCCCCCCACCGCGTGCCGACCCCTCACGCCGCGGCCTCGTGAAAGGGACCTTGAGCGGCCATTTCCTGCTCCCGCCGCCTCCCGGGCCTGCTCCCGGCCACAGCGAGGCGGCTGCTCCCTACCCGTCGGGGATCAGGCGAGGAAGCGGGGAGCGGCTCCCGCCCCACCGCTCCGAGGGAAGGCGCCCGGCAGGGCCCAGGCCGTAGCTCGCGGGCCTCACCTTGAAGTAGATCTCGTCGACCACCTCGTGGTAGGTCTTGAGCTCGTAGAGCTGCACCTTGAAGTAGGGCGAGGAGAGGATGTTGGTGAGGATCATGGGGTTCAGGTTCATGGTCTTCTCGTTGCCCCATAGCGGCAGCACATTGCCTTGCTTGCCCGAGGCCGCCGGCTTGGGGCCCCCGCTCTGTAGCGGCTGCTGCCCAGGCGGGGCGGAGCCGGCCTGGTACTGGGCCGCCTGCTGCTGCTGGCAGTTGCCGGCACCCACGGCTGGGCTGTTGTTGGCCATGGCGGCGGACCGGGCCAGGCCGGGGGAGGGGAGGGGGAGGGAGGGGACCGGGGTGGCGCGCGGTCTGTGGGGCGGACGACGCTCGAGATGCAGGCGAGCAGCCGAGCTGGGCGCTGTCTCCACCAACTGCCCACAAGATGGCGGGCCCGCGGAAGTGACGTTTTCGGTTTCCTGCACCGAGCCGGCCAATCGCGGCGGGGGGCGGCCCGAGACCGAAGCCTGGTTGAGGGGCGCGTGGTGCCCGCAGCTCGCATCTCCCTGGCGGGGTAGGGCGGGACGAAGTAATATGGCGACCGTGCGGTCTGCCTGGGCTACCGTCTCAAGCCTGGTGCTGGGGCCGGGTCAGCCTGAGGCTCGGGCTTGCCCTGTGGCGGCAGAGGGGCCCGCGAGGAGGGCGGAGCGAGAGCCAGCCCAGGCCTGACGCGTGGCTGTGGCTCTACTTCCTTGGCCTGGGCCGGTGCAGGGGAAAACGTCTGCCCTAATTTAATCGGAGCTTCACAAAAATTGGTTGGGACCTCACTGTGGAACCCGGTAAAATGCGAGGGTCTGTTGGCTGACAGAGGTTCCCCAGCAGTAGTGTTTTACACGAATAAAGTAGCATCCTACCAACATCCAGTAGTGGCATCTGGTGTGTGGGGCTCCTAGAGCAGCATTTCTCAGCTTGTGGGTCAGGACTCAAAAGTGGGTTGTGAGAACATACGAAAGGACTGCAAATGAACTTTAAAAATGGATTTTCCTTTAATGGAAAAAAACAAGAAAGCGTGGTCTTTCCGTTGCAGGCTGGCAGAGCTCCAGCCTGCTTGGGGCCCTGCTGTGCCCCACACATGACCTCCTTTCAAACACATTGAGGAGCAGGGGGCATCAGCTCAGGAGTGAAGGGCACTGGGTTGGACTGGCCATTGATGTTTACAGGTGGGTCCTGGTACAAGAAAGATTGAGAACCACTGTCCTAGAGGGCTCAGGGATTGTGTTGTCCACTTGCCACCGCTTTGCAGTTATTAAAGCAAAATTCCATGTGTTGCCCTGTTGCCCAGGCTTTCTGCTTTAGTGGACCCTTTAGTCTCTTCAGCTTTCCTGTCTTACATCTTGCTTTAAAACTTTATTTTGTACTTCTGTTTGTACTTCCATACAGTTCAGTACTACCCTCGCCAGGTACTGTGTAGGTATCAAACTGCTGGGGCCCACTGCCGACACTGCGGGGCTGAAGCCCCATAGCCGATACATGCAGGGGAAGGCTGAGCAACAGCTGCTTTAACCTCTGTGGCTTCCTGATATGGCTCCCCGTACTGCTGGAGGCTGATCCAAATCCAGCCTGAGTAGCGGTGTGGTCCAAATCTGACCCTGAAGACCAAACTTGTTACATGGTTGCTCATAAACTGAAGTGCAAAATAAAATTTTAAAGCAAGATGTAAAAAGGGATAGCTGAGGAGACTAAAAGGGTCTAATGAACAAGGTAATGCATGGAATTTTGCTTTAATAAATGCAGAGCTGTGCAAAGTGGAACAATATAATTTATAAGTTGTGTGCTAAGAGATGAGATCTGCTTTAATCAACTCAGGTCAAAATATTATTGTTAAGATACCTTCTCAGCACCAGTGGTGATTTAAATGATGATTAGGATACGTCAGTCTATTAATAAGGGCATGAGTGACTGGTGCCTCCTGAATCTGGGGGGGCACCCGCAGAAGCCTTGTCAGGGGAGGCACCAGCCCTGCTGACAGCTTTGGTGTCAGCTGTTAGGGGGGGCACATGCACCCCCATGCACCCCCTACCAGTTACCTATGAATAAGATACCAAAAGTATTGTAAGGAATTTTCCTTACTGTTAATGGCACATTAAGTTTTGGTCACTTCAGAGAAAATATAACAGTTTTAACTCCTTGATTCTGACATTTTAGAGACTGCCCTGACATCAAAGGAGTTCTGCATTACAGTCTAGCTGCAGTGGACCCTGTCCATGATGCCACTAGAAGTCCTGTCACTACAGCTAGAACAGAGGGAAGAGTCAGGGCTCTGGCTACTGCTAGGGACTAGAGGCCTAATTGGCAGGGTTTGCATTCTGGGTCAGTATCCTGCTACTGGGAATACCACTGCTGTGGGGGAGGAGGGGTTTGGGGTAGGGGAATGCAGGTGTCAGCATGGCCAGCAGCCAGGAGGTTAATGCAGCATCTACTGGGTATATTATACACCCTCTATCATCCCCATACTGTAGCTGTTTCTGCCACCAGTCAGCCCGATTACCTAGTGTCATCAATTCCTTTAGCCAGTGGGGAACAGTAAATTCAGCAGCAGTTACAGTAGGGGCTGCAAAGATACCTTCCCCAGCAGCAGCATGAGGCTGATGAGGGGACCAAGGCTACTCAGATGCAACCCTACAAGCAGGTAATTCCTGCACTGCTCCTCCATTCCAGTGACCCCCATTGTGTCACCAGGGCTTTGGCTGTGATGAGAAGCCTTAGAAAAAGACAGCAGGTCAGATGATTTACTTTGATGATGTGTATCCAAGCCATGAGCTGGACGTTCAACACTTTTGCTCAGCTCCAATAGCAGGCTTTCAAGCCAACTGCTCCCACCTGATTTTCTTCATTCCACCAACTCTCCACCAAAATCTGCAGCTCCAGGTTTCTAGATAACATTTAGGTTTATTATTTACTTCATAGATCAATCCATCTTGATGATCACTACAATCTACAGTAAATATCTGCATACCATTCTCCATATGGAAGAAAGTGAATTAGGAAGCTAATAAGCAGTATAGAAGAAACTCTAGATTACAGAACTGAGTGTATGACAAGGATTATTGTATGTCTGGTTTAAGTCATAATCCCAGAGTCTCAGACCAGGCAGCTATTTCTGTTTCCTTATGGCTGGAAATGGCCTGCTATACTTTCTGTGTAGAAATTTATTCTGCTATATCTTCAAATAAAGGATTGACTTCGGAAAGGTATCCACAGCTTTTAGTATGTTTCATAGCTAGGGGCAGGAGGTACCTGAACAGATCATCTAGCCTGACCCCCTGCCACAGGCAGGAATGA